CGTTTCAGTAATAATAATTGTAATTCCTTGCGCCAGTCGCTTCCCTTCGCCTACGTTAGATTAGTTGGGGGGAGATTAGTGTTGCATGTTTAATCTCCTCTATTGACCGAGTGTGCTAGTCTTGTTTAGCGGGCATCCATAGCCTATTCTATGCTTCCCTGATAGACCTGATAGCTCGTTTCCTCTTGATCTGCGGAAATGTTGTTTGTCTTCTTGGATCTGCTTGTTTGATTTCCTTGATCTCCCTTCCCCCCCGCAAATGCCATTTCCTAGTGTTGTCCTACACCTCCCCCGGTGCCTCTAGGGGTTGTCTTCCACAGGTAGTGCTTTTGGGACCGCTGACTTTTAACCCCACTAACCGAATCACTCGGAAGAAAGCCCACTTATCGGCAGCAGGTAGTTTTAATTAATCACTAGGAGTTGAGTTTCAGTCAAAGGATGGGAGAGGGGGGTCGCCTACTTTTGTCCGTTGCTTTGGCACCGTGGATCCATGACTCATCCAACTGAGGCGCTCGAACAGTAGCCCCCCCTCCGGTAGAACCGTGGTCGACGGCGCACCGAATGAACTGCCGGGCAGAATTTTTACTAACGGCGAGCGTTACGCGCCTTCTTAGTGGACTTCAGTGTTGTCGTTCGTTCCGTATTGTTTCAATATTATTTCTAATATTACACTACTTTTCATTTCCTTACGTATTATTTTCTATCGATGTTTGTTTATTGTTCTTTATCCTTATTGTTTTGTTTTTGGTGTTTTGGTTGCGTTTCATGAATTTGTGGTTTCTTAAAAGCAGCCAATAAACGAACAACACTGACCTTCAATAGAGAAGCGCTTACCGCTCACCGTTAACGAAAAGTTCAGTCTGACAGTCAATCCCCTAGCGGACTGGTCACACGACGACGGCCTGGTGTGGGGATTGTTTTCAATCGACTAATCTTTGCTTCCACAGTTACTGTCAGCCTCTGCCCGGGCAAACACTCCACCTTACACACAACCCATCCTCTTAGTCCTCGT